CCCCAAAACCCCAAAACCCCAAAACCCCGTTTAACTAGAACGAATTGAAAAATTTGGTCTTTAATTTGTCTATTTAATAGCTATATTTTAAAGTTAATTTATATTTAATAACTTAAGGTTAACTTAAAGATGGAACACTTGGTGCAATTGTAAATCAAGGACACTGCTGAGAGATACAGAATTTGGGAAAAAATTGGAGGTGGCGGCCAGGCAGTTGTGTACTCAGCTTAAGATTGTGATCACCCCGACCAGCAATACGTTGCTCTAAAGTAACAAGAATTAGAGAAAATGCTCGAAAAGATAAAAACTTCGATTATAAAACAGCATTGATGCAGGAAATGCTTGCGATGTGATCAGTGTAAGTATTGTCAAAAATGTCCAGGTTGTGAGCATATACCTCAGCCAGTATAGAGCTAAAATTAACAAAAAGAATCTGAAAATCTGGCTTAAGAAGAAGTATCTAGGGAGCTTCTCAGGCTCCTAAGAGAAATCTCATCAATTCAACTCAAGCATCTGAATATCGTGGAGATTTACGACTCATATATCTCAACTGATAACAAATTCATCTCAATAAGTGAATTGGCTCACCAAGATCTTTAAGATTTCGTGGCACAACGATAGAAAAAGTTGACTACACAGGAGATTTCAATGATTTTTCTTCAAATAATAAATGGTCTCGAGTATACTCATGACCAAAACTTCATACACAGAGATATATCTCCATAAAATATCCTTGTTTTCTAGGACTAGCTTATCAAAATTTGTGATTCCGGATTAGCTTCTTATGGTGATCAATCCAGTCTACTTGTAGGAAAATAAGATTTTGTCGCACCTGAAATCTACTTTGGAAGCAAAAACTATAACAAATCAATAGATATATGGTCACTCGGAATAACTCTCTATTACCTTTGTACTGGATCAACATATTGCAATGGAGAACTTGTCAATGCTGTTGCTAGAGAATAGAATCATATTGAGCTACCACCTGAACACAAAATATTACAGGCTTTTTTTGATTAAATGATATAAGTTGACCCTTCAAAAAGACTTTCAGCTTCTAAGATAAAAGAAGACTTAATGAATATTATAGATGAAGGAAGCCCTATTTTCTAAAAATATTAATCGTCTCTTTTGACCTATTTGATGATATAATAGAAAAATAACTTTCAAAAATAATAGATAGACTTTGAAAAACAAATTCAAAGAAATTTTAAAAAAGAATTGATTTAATAAAATAGTGATTAACTATAGCATTTGAAAGACATATATTAAGAATTAGATAAATCCTAGCTCTTGGTAAGATCATATATAATTGAAGAAGAGAAAAATTCGAATATGTCTCACTTATCTAATTAACTCAGAATTATTATTTAAAAGTAAGGTGATAAATAGATTTAAAGACATTTCAAATAAGAAAAAATTAAGTAAAATACAGATTCAAATAAGCCAGAGTAAAAATTGGGAAAAAAAATATATCAAATAAGGCAAGTGAAGAGATCTTAATTGATTAATGATAAAGAAGGGGAAAAAAATTTTATAAATTAGTATAGATTGTATGATATTGAGGCAACTCATGAAAGAATAGATTATGACACAACAATTAGACAAATAATATTAGAAATACCTTGATTCATTCTTAGTAATAATCAGATAATTATTTAGAAATATTATATTTGATGTAGTAATCAAGAAGAACATGATCTTGAAAAATATTTGAAATAATATGATAAATAATTAAAAAATGCTACACATTGCATCTTTTTATCTCCAAATTTACAAATAAATTTCACGGGGTTTTGGGGTTTTGGGG